GGGGGGGGGGGGGGGGGGGGGGGGGGGGGGGGGGGGGGGGGGGGGGGGGGGGGGGGGGGGGGGGGGGGGGGGGGGGGGGGGGGGGGGGGGGGGGGGGGGGCTTAACTTTTCAAGTGGTCACCCCCTCCCCCTCTCTCGATGTATTTCTCCACTTGGCCTGTACTTTAAATCTGAATCATTTTCATAGAGCAGAGCTTCAAGTCTGCATGATCAGATTTGAGAAACAAAGTTAACCACCCCCTCTTCATGAGTACTTTTTATTACGATGTTCCAGGGTTCTCCCCCCCCTCTCAAACTGTGGCGAAGAATGGTAGTCATTGAGCCAACAGTAGATCGTGCCAACAGTTAAGAGTGACATAAAGCTGCATTTGTCATTGGACAGCCGTGAGCGAACATTTCCTGCAGAATAATCGTCAAAAATATGCCTTGAAATGATGTTTTTGCAATTTTGGGGAGCACTGAAGGGCTATGGAAAATTGAATCGTATGTCGCTTCAAAATTTTATAAGGATTCAGAAAATGGTGCTTTACGTAGTTATACAAGCAATCCTTCTCATGTTATGACCGAAAAACTTCTTGAACAATCCCCAGTTAAATTTCGATAATTCCTTGACTAAAATGAAGGTAATGCGGCGATAAAGAGCCACAGTGCATTTTGGTACATTGTGATCAGCAGCCACTACTGCCAAGCGACAGTCTCATATCAGATTCCGCATGCCTTTTCTTTTCACCGTCCAAATCAGTTTCTTCCTCTCTCCCTCTCTCATTCTTATCAGACAGATACACGAGGATTGTGCAAAAATGGTGGTTTGTAGAAAGTTGACATAATATCAGCATTCATAGACTAGATTAATGCAATAAAAAAATTGGAAATCAATCAGAGCTCACATTCTTGAAAGGAATGTGCAGGGTTCTCTTCAAGAGCAGATTATGAGAGAATTATGAAAAAGACACATAATTACCTTCAACAGCTGGGGCCGGAATCAAGGCTAAAGTCTCATAGAGTCTTAGACGAACCATGGCGGCAGGAGCTTTCAGATGTTGACCATAAGTTTTTACTATAGATGATATGCTGAAAATGAAGAGCAAAGTCATTACAAAGAGTTTACAGCACAATAGGTGCCGCAACAGAGGACAACGGTCCAACCTTGTGGGAAAAGTAGGCCCGGTTAAATCAGCTGGTTTTTTGATATGTTGTAGATCTTGTCCTACTGATCAAAAGTGTCAATGGTATTTCTTCCTATATCAAAATTATACCCCCCATTTTGGGGGTCGAAGTTCACAATTCAGCGTATGATTGGTAGTTATGACACCCACGTTCATTCGTGGCATTTGAGCTTCTCTACTGTTTTGTAGAGTCTATTCTATCCTCTGAATAGGCTAGAGACCATCAGAATTAAAAAACTGAACCATGTTGCCATATTCGGGAGGGGGGGTTAGGGTGTACCTTATTATTTTAATTTTGCGAAATTCTCCAAAAACATGGCATAAGTATCGGTTTAATACGATTCGCGCAAGCCAGTTTCACTACTCGAGGTCGGTCGCAACCTGCCCCCCCCCCCCC